TGAGGGAATGGTATACAGAGGATGACCTCTGATTCCTACTTTCCCTCCCAGGCAATGAGTGGCTATCTGGGTAGTGTCTTTCAAAAGGACCTAAAATATACACTACCCACAGGTGCCTGGGACAAGCAAAGGCAGATAAGACAAGCAATAAAGAGCCCCCAAAGCCTGATAATGACTAGGATAAGGGGAAAAACTCTTGGGGGAATAAGAGTTTTGAAGGGCATAACAGAGAGTCCAGAGTGCAATGCATATGTGTAAGGTAGGCACAGGCTCAGAAAAGGCCTGAAAGGAAGCCAGGCTTGTACATCTTGTTGACCTCTGGGCTCCCCCAAAGCAGGAGGTGAAATCAAAAGCTGAGTTGGAGAACACCTGCTTAAAGATTGGTGGAGTGTCCCAGCTCAGAGCCAATTTGCAAAGACCGGAGGATACGTATGTATGTGTACATATGTATATACACACACATACATGTATATACATATACATACATGCATGCATATATTAAAACGTAGTCTATGTATATATGTGTGTATATATGTATGTATTTATAAAATTTTTATATATAGTTATATATATTTATATATATTTAAAAAGTCACATATATAGTCATATATAGTCATATATATTCATATACAGTTATATATGACTTTAAATATATACAAATGCTATATATAAGTTTTATATATACACATATAAATATATAAAAGAATTATATACAATTATATATAGTTATATATAGTTTTATATATAATATATATTTTATATATTATATATAACTATATATATAGTTTATAGTTATATATAACTATATAAAATATAATATAAATAAAATAAAAAATAAAATAAATAAAACAAAACTATATATATATATAAAACTGTTTGCTTTCAGGAAAACTTTATGGCCTAACTATCTGAGAACTGATAAAATAAAAGGATGACATCAGTGATTGCATATACAAGAAATTCATGCTTTGCAAAACTATTTGCTTGACACTGTCACTACTCAGATGGGTGACAGTAGCTCTCAACAAACAATATCAACAAGTATTCAGTTAGTGGAGAAAATCTGATTTCCAGAGTTGCCACAATGTAATATTCAAAATGTCCAGTTTTCAACAAAAAAATGGAAAGATACAAATAACATGGAAGTATGGCCCAAGAGCTGAAAATTTCAACATGTGAAATTTAAAGAAAAATCACTAGAAGTATTCAAGAGCATATTTGAGCATGCAGAATAAGGAATTAGTGAACTTGAAGATAAGCCAGTAGAAATTATCCAGTTGAAACAAATAAAGAAATAATGAAGAAAAATAGACAGTCTAAGGGGCTTGTGGGACACCATCAAGCACACCCACATACATATCATAAAAGTTCCAGAAAGAGAGACATGAGGGAAAGGTGAAGAAAGAATATTTGAAGTAATAATAACCAAAATGTTTCCAAAGTTGATGAAAATGTAAATGTACACATCTAAAAATCTCAGTGAAGTCCAAGGAGGATAAACTTGAAGAGACAATACTGAGACACATTATAATAAACTGTCAAAAACCAATGACAGATATTGAAAGCAGTAAGAGAGAGAAACAACTCATCACATGCAAGTGATACTCAGAGAAATACAACAACTTATGTGAATCAGAAACCAGAGATGCCAGAGGGAAAGGGATGTCATATTTAAACTGCTGAAATATAAATGGAAAAAAATGCCAATAAAAATTTTGATATCTAACAAACTGTCTTTCAAAAATAAAGGAGAAATTATGATATTCCCAAGTAAACAAAAGCTGATGGAATTCAATGTTTGTATCCTAGCCCTACAAATAATACTAAAGGAAATCCTTCAGGCTGAAATGAAAGGACATTAGGCAGTAATTTGAAGCCAGGTAAAGAACAAAAAACTTTAGTAAATGTAATTAACAGCATGGGTAAATATAAAACCACACATTACTGAATTTTGGCTTTAAAAGTTCTGCTTTGTTTCCTACATTATTGATAAGAATTCCATAAAGCAGCCATTAAAATATATGTTATGGGTCACACAAAGTACAAAGAAGTCAGTTGTGGGAATAACAACATAAAATGGGTGGGGTGTATAGCTGTACAGAAATGTACTCTGGTATGCTGTGCAATTAAGTTTGTGTCAATTCAAGAGATTGTTTAAAATTTAGGAAGGTTAATTGCGATGCCTATGGTGACCACTATGTAAATAGTGGAACACACATATGACAAGTGAATACAAAATACAGACTAGGAGAAAAATTGACAGACTACAAAATAAGTCACTTCAGTAGGAATTGAGAAAATAAAAAATATGAGAAATATAGAAAATACAGCAAAAATGCAGAATGAATTATTTTTAAAAAGACTGCTATGTACTATCTACAAGAAATTCAAAGAATGAAATAAGTTGAAATTGAAAGAATAGAAAAATGTATTCCATGTAAACAATAAGAAAAAGATAGCTGAAGTGGCTATGCCAAAATCAGACAAAATAGACATTAAATAAAAATTATTACAAGGTACAGTGAAGATCATTAGATATAGCAAATACAATAATTATAAACATATTCCAAACTAGAGAAAGCTAAGATATATGGAGTATACACTGACAGAACTGAAGGGACAAATCGAAAGCTCTCCGAAACTAGTTAATGAATTCAATATCTCACTTTCAATAATAGATAAAACACCTACACAGAAGGTTAGTAGGAAAATAGAGGATTTGAACAAGACCATAAATGCACTAGAACTAACAGATATGTATAGAACACTTCAGCCAACCATACTGGAATGCACATTCTTCTCAAGTGTGTATGGGACATTCTCCAAACAAAAATATGTTAGGCCACAAATGTAGTTCTCAATAAATTTCAAAAGATTGAAATCATACAAAGTTTATTTTCTGACTGCAGTGGAATGAAGCTAGAAATTCATAACACAGGTAAGTCTGGAAAATGCACCAATATATAGAAACTGAACAACACACAATTAAATAACCTATTGGTGAAAGAAAAAATCATGAGGGAAAAATTTAAATACCCTTAAGCAATTGAAAATAAGGGAAACACAGCATACCAAAACTTGTGAGATGCAGCAAAAGTAGTGCTCAGAGGAAAATTTATTGGTCATTAGGTAAGTGTAAATCAAACCATAATGGAATGTAAAATGATTCTGTTGCAGCACAGAACAGTTTGATGGTTTCTCACAAAATTAAACACAGAAATACCATATGGCTCAGCTATTCCACTCCTAGGAATATATGCAAAATAATTTAAATGAGGTGCTAAAACAAAGTTTTGTACACAAATGCTCACAACCGCATTATTTACAATACTCAAAAGGTTGAAACAACCCATATACCTGTCGGAGGATGAATAGATAAACAAAATTGTGGTATATACCTAAACTAGAATATTAATCAAGAAAAAATGAAGTATTGATATATACTTCAGTGTGGATGAACTTCAAAAATATTATGCTAAGCCAGACAAAAAAACTCATGTATTGTGTAATTCCATTTATGTGGAATATCCAGAAGAGATAAATACAGATTTTTTTGCCAGGGGCAGGGTGGTAGAGGGAAAATGGGAGTAAATAATTGAAGTGTATGGGGTTTTCTAGGTGAGAAAGCTGAAACTTCCTTGAGGCTTTGATCACTGGGGCACTACATGGAATAATGTGGAATTACTCTTTATGTAATGGTAATGATCTCCTTAGTTTATATTTTTAAGAAATTCATACACATATATAGGTCCTGTTTTAAATATACATAAAGAACTGAATAGTCAAGTGGTAGGAAATAACTTGTCCAAGAAGTGAAAATAGAGCCACAATTTGTAAACTGGTGGTACCTCACTTGTATCAACATTTATAGGATTGAAACTTGAATTTGGTTTGGCATCACTATTATTTTAGTTTCAAACATTATGCCTGCTTCTTGTTTAAAGTGCAAACACTACAGAAGTGTGGAGAATAATTCTGTTAATGCCCCTTTCAACTCTCACCTGCAGCTCTGAACTGCTAATTGCCTGTCAGCAAGAAAGGTCCCACAGAACTGGCCTTAATGTGAGATTCCGTGCTACTGTTGTTTGTTTGGAAGGAAAAATAAATGGCTGAATCCCCTCAGGAACATGGGCACAGAGCACCAGGTGTCAGCAATCTGAGAAATGCACTGGGGAGACAGGCTGACTCTCCATCACTCTCAAGTGCAGAAGTGAGATCCTATCCACAGTGCACCTTCAGAAAGTGGGTGGGGGGGTGCTATATAGTGATTGGATGAGAAGACAAATGCAAGCATGGTGAGAAGTGTGAAAAGACCCATTTCTCATTCACCTGTGTGCAAATTGTAAACCTGTTTACTGGAGTATGGTCTTTGAAAATAGTCAACTGACCAGGAAGAAGTAAACAATGTGAGTTCCCTCTTCCTTCCTCCCACAGCCCTTACTATGCAGTAGGCATCTTTTGCAAAACCCCTTTGTGCTGGGTCTCATGTCTGCTTCTGGGGGCCTCTAGGGAGAGCATCCAATTGAGTCCCACTGTCTCCAAAGGCCAACCTTGGAAGCAGCATGTGTCCCTTCTTACCAGAATTTATTGACAAACCACCTATAGAGTCAAGCCTGACATAACTTCTAGGGAATGCCAAGGTGAATGACAGAGTTGGGGGTGGAGAAGGAAGGATTTTCCAGTCCTACACCCATTTGCTCATGGTAGGGCAGAAGAAGAGCAATCCAAGACACATAACATACAATGTGTAACATCATTCTTTATTATGAAAAAAAAAACCCACCCAGCAATCATTATAAAAAAAACACAACAACAACAAAAAACAAAACACCCAGCAATCATGAATGGGGAAAATAAAGAGAACAAATGACCCTTCAGGTGGTTATGTTACCAGACCTATAAGGTAACTTCAGCTCCAGTCATGGGTATGGCCTTAGGCTGGAGAAAACAGAAAACAGAACAATGGGGATGAAGACAAACATAACATCTGAGGGCTCTTTTTAAGGGGTTTGTTTGAAGGCCTCCTCTGAGATTGTGCCCTTCACCTGCAGGGGAGGAGTTGGGATGTCAGAAGAGCCAGTTCCCTGAGTTTCATTGCAGGGCACCAGGTTCCAATTTCTGGGCCTTCCCAAAGGCCCAGAAACATCCACTTAAACCCATTTGATATTCAGACCTCACCTTGAGCATAGTGAAGACCTGAGCAGCTCTGGTGTATTTCCACCTCTTGTCCTGAAGGCACCTGGAGTGGGAGAACAAATGATCTCCCTTAGTACCACAGTGCAGATACTCCGACCAGGAAATGCCACCACTAAGTCTATGTCATTATATCTATGCTGGGACAGATGTGCCAGAAAGAGCACGATGTGTAATGAGGAGGAAAGACCTAGTGAAAACCAAAACCTCTGTCACTAGCATTCATGCCCAATACAGAAACATAGAGCTGTTCAGAAGAATGTGGGAGAACCAAATGAGGAAGAACCAAAACCTCTGTCACTAGCATTCATGCCCAAAACAGAAACATAGAGCTGTTCAGAAGAATGTGGGAGCTTAACAATGTTGATAAAGATTTTCAAGAAAATAACAAATGGAAACCTAAAATTGCAAGTTTTCAATTATACTTTATTGAGCTACAATGCACATACATAGCAATAGCCATTTCAAAGTGTACAATTCAGTGATTTTCAGTATATTACAAGAATGTACAGCCATCACAAGTATCTAATTCCAAAATATTTTCATCACTTCAAAAAGAAACTCCTTAAGTCTAAGAGATTACTCCCTGTTCCTTTCCTTTCCCTAGACCTTGGCAATTACAAATTTGTTTTCAGTACCTATGGATTTGCCTATACTGGACATTTCATGTAAATGAAATCATACAATATGTAAGCTTTTCTGACTGACTTCTTTCACTTAGTGTAATGTTTGCAAGGTTCACCTATGTCATGATATATGTAAGAACTTTGTTCTATTTATGAATTTGTAATATCCTGTTATATAAATGTACTATATTTTTATCCATTCATCAGCTAAAAGACATCTGGGTTGCCTCTGAGTGGAATATTACTGGTATGAACCTTCCTGTGCAAGCTTTTACTTGAATGTATTTTTTTCATATCCTCTGTTATATACTTAGGAGTGGGATTACTGAGTTGTATGATACCTCTGTGTTCAACATTTTGTGAAACTTTCAAAAAGATTTCCACAGTGAATGCTCCATTTTGCACTGTACCAGTAATATATGAAAGTTCTGATATCCTCACATCCTCATCTACACTTACCTTCTATTTCACTAAAAAACCATCTTACTGTGTATGAAGTGGTATCTTGTTTAGATTTGCATTCCCCTAATGACTAATGATGTTGAGTATATTTTCATGTGCTTGGTCTTCTGCATATCATCTTCAGAGAAATGTCTATTCAAATAATTTCCTCATTTTCAAGTAGTCTTTTTAAATATATTTTATTTATTATGCTATTACAGTTGTTCCATTTCCCCCCTTTATTCCCCATCCACCCTGCACACCCTTCCCACCTGCATTCCCTCCCCACCTAGTTCAGGTCCATGGCTCATACATGTATGTTATTTGGCTTGTGCAATTCCCATACTATTCTTAACCTCCCTGTCTATCTTGTACCTACCATTTATGCTACCTATTCCCTACACCTTTTCCCCCATCATCCCTGCCCCTTCCCCATGGATAACCCTCCATATGATCTCCACTTCTGTGATTCTGTTCCAGTTCTAGTTGTTTGCATAGTTAATTTTTTAGGTTCACCTGTTGATAGTTCATTGTTGTCCTTTTACTGTTCATAGTTTTTATCTTCTTTTTCTTAGATAAGTCCCTTTAAAATTTTATATAATAAGGGCTTGGTGATGATGAACTCCTTTTAGTTGACCTTATCTGGGAAGCACTCTATCTGCCCTTCCATTCTAAATGAAGCTTTGCTGGATAGAGTAGTCTTGGATGTAGGTCCTTGCTTTCACGACTTTGAATACTTCTTTCCAGCCTCTTCTCACCTGTAAGATTTATTTTGAGAAACTAGCTGACAGTCTTATAGGAACTTCTTTGTAGGTAACTGTCTCCATCCCTCTTGCTGTTTTTAAGATTCTCTCCATATCTTCAATCTTGGGTAATGTAATTATGATATGCCTTGGTATGTGATTCCCTGGGTGCAACTTCTTTGGGACACTCTGAGCTTCCTGAACTTCCATGACGTCTATTTCATTACCCAGTTTGGGGAAGTTCTCCTTCATTATTTGTTCAAATAAGTTTTCAATTTCTTGCTCTTTGTCTTCTCCTCCTGGCACCCCTTTGATTCAGATGTTGGAATGCTTAATGCTGTCCCAGAGGTTCCTAAGTCTCTCATTTTATGAATTCTTGTAGAAACAAAAATCATTCTGTTCCAGTTGATTGTTTATTTCTTCCTTATGGTCCAAACCGTTGATTTGAGTCCTGGTTTCCTTCCTGTCACTGTTGGTTCTCTGTACATTTTCCTTTGTTTCACTTTTCATAGCCTTCATGTTTTCCTCTATTCTGTGACCATACTCAACCAATTCTGTGAGCATCCTGAATACCAGTGTTTTGAACTGTGCATCTGATAGGCTGGCTATCTCTGTCACTTAGTTGTATTTTTTCTGGAGCTTTGATCTCTTCTTTCATTTCAGACATTTTTTTTATGTCTTGGCATGCCAATTAAGTATGTAGGGGAGGAGGCTTAGGAATTCATCATAGTGGGGCAAACCATGTAGCTGTGTTGTGGTGCTGTATGTGGGGGAGAGGTCCAAGTGGGAACAATGCCACTTATTCAGCTCTCTACCAGCTTTCATTCACTTCTGCCCCCTACCCACAAGCAATTTGGGTCCATCTGGTGCTGATTTCTGGGTGTATGGACTTGTGCACATTCAAGGACCCTGTGGGTCTCTCCAATGAACTCACCTGTGAGGCTGGGAGTTTCTCCCATGGCTGCTATTCTCACAGGATTTCTCAGTCATGGGTTTTGAGGCTTTATTTCCCTGCACTGAAACTCTGGGTTGTGTGGTCTGTTTTGCTCCCCAGTTGTTCCTCCCCGGTTTATCTGCACACAAAGGTGGGACCACCTGCTCCACCCACCCCCACTTACAGCAAAACCTCTCCACCCAGCTTCCCCTCTCTGCCCCTCCTACCAGTCTACATGAATGTTTCTTCTTTACGCCTTTGGTTGTCAGACTTCCATACAGTTTGATTTTGTATCATTGCTGGTTGTTTATTTTTAAATTTGTTGTTCTTTTGGTTGTGTGAGGCGGCATAGTGCATCTACCTACACCTCCTTCTTGGCCAGAAGTGAGTTGTTTGTCTTTATTGTTGAATTGTAAGTGTCCGTCAGATATTCTGGAAAGGATACCTTATCACATAGGATATTTGCAATTATTTTCTCCCATTCTGTGGTTGTATTTTCAATTTCTTTTTTTTAAATTACTTTATTGTTGTTCAATTACAGTTGTCTGTATTTTTCCCCCACCCCAGGCAATCCCACCTCCCTCCCTTGCTTCCACCTTCCCCCTTGGTTTTGTCCATGTGTCTTTTATAGTAGTTCCTGAAAACCCTTCTCCCTAGTGTCCCCTCCCCCTCCCCTCTGGCTATTGTTAGATTCTTCTTAATTTTGATGTCTCTGGTTATATTTTGCTTGCTTTTTTCTTTTGTTATGTTCCAGTTATAGGTGAGATCATATGGTATTTGTCCCTTGCCACCTCGCTTGTTTCACTTAACATAATCCTCTCCAGTTCAAACCATGTTATTGCAAAGGGTAGGAGCTCCTTCTTTCTCTCTGCCATGTAGAACTCCATTGTGTAAATGTACCATAGTTTTTTGATCCACTCATTTACTGATGGGTACCTAGGTTGCTTCCAGCACTTGGTAAATTGTGCTGCTATGAACATTGGGGTGCATAGGTTCTTTTGGATTGGTGTTTCAGGGCTCTTAGGATATAATCCTAGCAGTGGAATTGCTGGGTGAAAAGGCAGTTCCATTTTGTTTTCTGAGGAAATTCCATACTGTTTTCCACAGTGGCTGCACCAGTCTGCATTCCCACCAACAGTGCACTAGGGTTCCCCTTTCTCCACATTGTCTCCAACTCTTGTTGTTTGTTGATTTGTTTATGATGGCCATTCTCACTGATGTGAAGTGGTATCTCATTGTGATTTTAATTTGCATCTCTCTGATGGCTAATGAGGCTAAAAATCTTTTCATATGTCTTTGGACCTTTTGTATGTCCTCCTCAGAGAAGTCTTTTCAGGTCTGTTGCCCATTTTTTAATTGGGTTGTTTATTTTCATACTGAGTTTTGGAAGTACTTTATCAATTTTGAATATTAACCCCTTACCAGATATATCTGTGGATATGTTCTCCCACTCTGTGGGTTGTCTTTTTATTTTGTTGATTTCCTTTGCTATGCAAAAAGTTTTTAGTTTGATGTAGTACCCTTACTTTATTTTTTCTTCTGTTTTCCTTGCCCTGGGATACATATCCAAAAAACACTGCTAGAGCAATGTCTGAGATTTTGTTGCCTATGTCTTCTAGGATTTTTCATGGTTTGGGGCCTGGCATTTAAGTCTTTGATTCATTTTGAACTTATTCTTGTGTGTGGTGTAAGGAGGTGGTCTAGTTTCATTTTTCTGTGCATTATCTGTCCAAATTCCCCAACACCATTTATTGAATAAACTATCTTTAGCCCATTATATGTGTTTTCTTCCTCTGTCAAATATTAATTGACTATAAAGGTGTGGATTTATTTCTGGACTTTCAATTTTGTAACATTGATCTATGAGTCTGTTTTTATGGCAGCACCAGGCTTTTTTGATTGCTATGGCCATGTAGTACAGTTTGATAATAGGTAATGTGATTCTCTCAGTTTTCTTCTTTCTCAGGATCACTGTTGTCATGTGGGGCCTTTTGTGGTTCCATATAAATTTTTGAAATATTTCTTCTAGTTCTGTGAAATATGTCATCAGAATCTTGATAGGGATTGCACTGAATCTAAATTGCTTTGTGCAACATGGAGATTTTAATGATGTTAATTATTCCTATCCATGAACATGGTAGGTGTTTCTACTTATTTGTATCTTCTTCAACTTCTTTCTTCAGTGTCTTATAATTTTCCAAGTACAGGTCTTTTATATCCTTGGTAAGGTTTACTCCTAGGCATTTTATTCTTTTTGAAGTAATTGTGAATGGGATTGCTTACTTAAGTTTTCTTTATGTCAGTTCGTTATTGACATATAAAATGCAACTGATTTATGGATATAAATTTTGTATCCTGAAACTGTGCTAAAGTTGTTTATCTTTTCTAATATTTTCTAAATGGATTTCTTAGGATTTTTCCATGTAAAAGATCATGTCATCTCAGTACTACACTGTTTTAAAATTCTTTATATATATCATCATAAAATTAGGTTACCTGGTTCAGAGACCTACTATTTTTGGAAGCAAAAATATCCAAATGCTTATTTTTCCAAATTCCCAATGTGTTCCTATTACTCAGCCAAACAATCCCTGAACTACCTGCTACTCTCAAGGACACCCAATACTCACTTCTGAGACCACTGTGGTTTCATGCCAGACTGGTAGGAGAAAAGCAGCACCATTTCTTGCTGCACCTGGGAGAGGGTGGGCTGAGAACTGCAGGAAGATGTGGGCATGGGAATAGAGAATGCCCTCTGAGACTCACTGATCGTGGGGACCCTCACAAACAGCTCATCATTCATGATGAACATACTAGAAGGAAAATATGTCCGTAGACAACTGATGGATGGATAAACCCACATCCTCAACAATGATCCTCCTTTCATCACCACTCAGCAACCAGATCCTCCAAAGCCTGACTAAAGCTACCCACCAGATTCCTTGCCTGTTAGCTCTGCTGCTCTCACTGAGCTCACCTTTGGAGAGAAGGTCTATCAGCTTCACTAAATTTGTATGTTTAACCCCATTGCATTTAATCTGAAAAACAGACCAAGGGAGAGGTCAATCTAAGCCAATTTTCAGAAGAACACAGTGTCACAGAGAGGTCATATGATTTAACTAAGGTATACATCTAGTTAGTGTTGGGGTCACAAAGAGAACCCAGTCTTCTACTCCAGAGCTCACATTCTTAATCCCAATGCTGGACTGTTCCTTGCATCTACCTGTTGGCTCCCCACAATGCTTTAAAAAACCCAGTTCTGCTCTGCTACATTCCCATACCCTCAAGCCTAGGCTGGGCTGCCTGTTCCTACTCAGAGCACAGCACTACTAGCACCTGGAACTACTGGCAGGGGTAGCGATGAAGGTCTGGGTGAAGGCATGCATAGAACCCTGAGACTGTCCTTCCTTCAACAACAACAACAACAACAACAACAACAACAACAATTACCCCTTAGAGTCACATTGCTTCACAGGTTCCCACTGCATTCCTCAGTCAGGGTGAGACTCCACACATGCCCAAGGGGACAGCGGTTCACTAGCTGTCCAGAATGGGGAGGGCAACAATAGGAGCAATCTTCTCCTACTGACATGGACGCTACTATGCCCTAGGACAACCACTTCACAAGTTCATTTGATTAATTTTTGCAGCTACCCAATAGGTGGCCATTATTAGCCCCCATTCACAAAAGAAGAAAATGAAAGTTATATGTAGCTGGCAGCCACCAAACCCCATCTCTGTGTCCCTAACAGCCCAGCTATATGGTGCTGACAGGTCATACCAGGATGGGATGGGGGTAGAGTGGAGTCAGGAGAACAGAGAGGAAATAGGAAAAAAGAGGAGGTATCAGGGAAGTTGGGAGAGTTCTGAGAAAGATCCCAGCCTGCAGGACGGACAAGTAGGGTATCTGAAGATGGGACTCTCCACACACTCACCTTCCTTGAACACCCCATTGACACAGAAGGAGAGCATGTTTTTCTGAAATAGAAGAGTGAAGTGCTCAGTCACCATCTACACCTCTCAACAACCTGCATGTTTCTGAGCCAGCCCAAAGGAGAAAGCAGGTTCTCATTGACAGGAACCACATGTCCACCATGAAGGAATTGAGATCATTTTGAGTTTTGGACAACACACAGAGGGAGCACACAATGTCATGTTTTGTATGTTTCAGCAGCTGAACGTGCAGATCTGTGGAGGAAGGCCAGCAACTGTCAGGGTTGTCACACCCAGGGACCTATGACTGGCCCCTTCATGCCTCTTTTCCCTGCCCAATCTTCTCCATCCCACATGCACTGGTGTCCTTGAGGTTCTTCATATTTTTGCTATTTTTGAAGTACTCAAGCAAACTGCTTGTAGGAGAATAACAAGCAAACAAAGAAAAACAGGATGTGGTGGTCTGGCCAGTGTGGGTGTTGCAATGAGCTGGCTTGTGTCTGCTGGGGAGCCACACAGCCTAGGAGCAGAGTCTGAGATGTGATTCACGGATCTGGATCCTTTGGGTTGAAGGGAATGGCAAGGGAGAAGCAGGCCTCATCGTGATAAGCACCGAGGAGACTCTGTCTGTCTCCAGGGTCATAGATCAAGTAATATCTGAGGGGACAATGAAGACTGTCTGTCACCATGTTCTAGACCTCAAATGGGACTTGAAAACTCTCATGATCAGTCTTGTGCTTAGGTGGTTCAGTGTGTCCCAGCCCTCCCTCATTTCTGGTGGACCCCTGGGTACTCACTACTGGAGGAATTGCAGCACTAGACTCTTCACAACATGAGATTCTTTATAGCTTTCCTGGAGTCAAAGACATTTTGAGGCAATGTGGTTAATAAAGCCTCCCCTGCAATAAATACCCCAAATGTTGACTTTTCTCCCTCACCTTGTAGGATTTTATGAAGTCGGGACTGTAAATGTCAATGGTAATTGGTGGGGTAAATCCTGGCCATCCTGGGGAAGGGAAGAGGAAGTTGGCGGTGTAGACCAGGAAATTTGTCCTGAATAATTAGGTGAATGGATAGGCTCACGGGATCATAAAAGACAGAAGTCAGGAGTGAAAAGGACCTGGAAATTTCATGGGCAAGATTACACTGGGCATCTGCATCATGAGGTCCTGGAAGTTCTACTCTTGTATGCAACTTGTGTGTATTTGTTCCTCTTTTTCTCTTCCTGTCTTCCTTCTTCCTTGCCTCCCTTTCTCTCTGTGTGTGTTCTTATATGTGGACTTTGGCAGAGATCATATTCATCTTTTTCAGAAGTCCATATCCTCCCATTATGGATAAGAGTATGAAGAAAATGTGTAATTTAAGCAAGACTCAAAGTGCTTGAGGGCAGATGTGGAGGTTATCTATGTGAGTAGAGACAATGATAAACGAAAGCACTTTCCAAGCATAACAACTTGGGGAAATGATGCAGGCCACAAGTGTCATTATGGTTGAAATGAGACACTCATATGGATTACTGAATCCGGTGGAGGAAAAAGGACGACATGGCTTTTCTCTCAAGGGAGCAAAAGCCTTGGCCCTTGCTCCAATGAGCTTTAATTGTCTTACTAGGCACCTTACAAGGTCCTTATTAACTATGCAGGAGCTCACTATAGGTGGTTACCTTTTACAGAAAACAAAGGAGCCAATTCTGCTAATCACATCACAGAAGAAGGATATTTGCAAATGAAAAGGCAAAGGTAGTTGGATGGTTACACTCATCCTTTGAAGGTTTAGGTTTTTAGGAAGTAGCTTTGCAGTAAATGTCCTCAATTTAGGGTGAGGGAGTTTTAGCAAAAAGCAAGACTCATAGGGACCTAGGCACATTGCAAGCCTGATTCCCCATGGGAGAACAGAGAACCTATCCGTGGGCATGGGTCCTGTGCATCTCCAAGTGGGAGCTGGGCCCATGCCATGCAGAGTGGCCTCCCACAGGGAAACATTTCCTGATAGCACTGTCCACATCTAAATACAGAAAAAAGTGGTTGATAGTTTGGGTTGCAATGCTTCCCTTCAGTTAAAACATTCATGGCATGAACAGAGACAGGTGATCTGCCCACCAACCAGCCCCCTTGGTCTCCTCAGCCTCTGACTTCAAGGTTTCTGGGTCCACTCTCCTATTGAGCACTGACCATCTGCCATATGGAATCTCAAAAACACACAGTCTCCTTATCTCTTTCCACACCTTCACATCCATATTGCCTCCCTCCCTCCCTCCCTCCTTCAACTTTTCCCTCCTGCCTTCCCTCTTCCTCAGTCCCTCTCCATCATGCTGATTAGAACCTCTCCAGAGGACCCTGACTCCCTTCTCCAGTGCCACAAAACACAGCATTTGGATTCCAGACTCCAGGGCTTCTTCCCCTTTCCTGCCTCCCTTTCTTTCTTGTGGTCCCAAGTGAAGGCTCCAGAGAAGTGGGAAGGGGGTGGGAGCCTGTTCTGCTACCTCACTGGGAGGTCCAACATCCTGTCAGGGTCAGGGCCTGCCCCAAGCATGGCCAAGAATGCTGGAGCAGGGATGTGAGTGAGGGAGGGATCAGGAGAGGAAAGGAAACAGAGGGGAAGAAGAAAGAAAGGGAGTAAAGACAGGAGAGAAAATTGGGAAGACACTGGGGAGTAGAGACAAAGGTGAAAAGGGAAAAAACCCAATGGGAAAGACATTCTGCCCTGGTGGTGGGGGAATGGGTGTCAGATAAAGAGAAAGAAGAAAGGGAACATCTTTCCTGCCCTTTCCTTCATCTGACCCTGGCTTGCCCTAGGTCTTCATGTAGGAATGAAGAACATACATTTCTGGAACATTTGTTTGTTGGCCTAAGGGTCATGGGATGCTGGTCGAGCATTTGTTATCTGTGTATCTGTTCTGGTCTTAGTTGTTTCCTTAACTGAGAAATCCTATCTGTGTCTGGGTATCCATGGCTCCTCTTAAGAATTACTCAGGTCATATGATGTGTGGAAGGAGGGGCCCCTGAGAGTACGCTCCTTCTCTTTCTTTACTCAAGGATGCCCTATCCCCTGGAATTACATTAAAAGAAGGGATGTCATCATGACAGTCACTGGAGGCATGGGCCCGTGGCATGGGGTGAGAAGTCCCCATGTCATCCTGGGATTGGAGGGGACACCCTTTTGAAGCATGGGAAAGAAGGTTCCTCCCAGAATAGGATAGGGATACTCTGTGTTATCTCAGAAGTAGGAAGATTCTGTCTCAGCCTAACTTTGGGGTGGAGGACATTTCCCAGTCCAGGTTGTAGTACCTGGAGTGTCAAGTGTCAAGTGTCAAGCCTTGACACTCTTAGTCCTGGTGAGGAGGAGAAGCCCTGCATCCTGGAGCACACTTTTAGGTGGGCATGCTAGAGCAAACTGGATGAAGAGTCAGAAACCAGACTCCTAGAGAAAACTAGATGCAGGGTCAGGAACCAGACACCAGACCAGTACAACAGGTAAGAAGGTCAGAGGAAGGATAAGAGACCTCTACACATAGGTGAGGGACACAGAGAATAGAAGGTGGGGCTTGCAGTCCTCTCAGAGGACCAGGAATGCCACCTTCTGTAATAGGGCTCCAAGGAGTCGAAGGTACCTAGGAAGGGTGACAGGGCTTCACACTGACCTTATGTAGGTGGGTTGGTCTGGGAACGTGTCACACAAGGGGTTCCCTCCCAGACACAGCTCTTTGAGCTTCAGGCCTTTGATCTTCCCCAACTCCCAGGTGGAATTAAGCTGCAAAATGTGGGGAGGAAATTAAAAAATAGTCCCAGGGACAGAGGGCCATCCAAGTCCCTGAACCCACAGCCTCCCTCCTTTACCCACAGGTGCCTGTGTCTGCCTGCCATCAGCACTCTCATAACCACCACCCACCACTCTCAACCACTCTTTGATCTGTCCCTCTCTCGTCTCATTTTTGGATAGGTTCAGGATCCTGATTATGGGGCCTATCTGTACAATATCAGACAGGCCATCCAGCTGGTACAGTTTGATCTTGCACAAATTGAGGAACAACAGTTTTGAGAAAGAAAAGTTAGAGTGACTGTTACTATGTGGGACCTCAGAGGCAAAACTGATCTATATCCCATCTGTTCCATCCCCAACCATAACACCAGAACTGGACCCAAGGCCTTACCTGGGGGAAACTCATTTTGATGATCTCTAAGGTGGCAGTCATGTGGTTTCTATGATTCAGAATTATATTAACATCAAGATGCATGAAGCCTTCAAGAAGGTGGGAGAAAGGAATCAGATGGCTGAGAGGGGTCCAAGGGTGGCACCGACCCTTCTGATCCTTAAGTTTCCCTCCCAGGCAGTACTCTCTGCCATCATGTTCCTTAGAATTACCTTTGTCTGCCATACCTGGGTCATAGCGTAGACTCTGGAGATCAAGAGCTAGGGGGACTGGATTGGGAGTAAAAAGGAGAAAACTGTATTTGAACAGTGATTAAAAAAATAATAATAAAAAAATTTAAAAAAGAGCTTTCTGGGAGACATTATATTGTTTGCTCACAGTCAGCTACAGAAGGAGATGGAGACTGAGCTCGATGTTGTGGTGGTGACAGGAAAATCAGGGGCGGGAGGTGGAACAGGTGGTTCTGGGGAATACATGTGCCTTGAGTCTGCATTACCTTTAGCTGCTCTATTTATTTTGGCTGCAACTTATTCTGCACAGAGTAGGGTACAGCAAAAGCACTGACTAGGTAGGTATCTGCAAGAAAAAGAGGAGGGGGAAGCACCAGAAACTCTTGTTCCTAAAAAGGTTATTAGCCTCTAGCCTGTCATGCTGCTTAGGCACCAGGTACAGGTATTTTTACTCCACACATACCTTTAGATTCTCCTCATTACAAATTTTGTAGCTGACATCCATCAATGTAGAAGCAGCACTAGCACCCTGGACAAAGAACAGGGCCCAGTGTTGAACATAGTGGAACTATAGGGATTGAAGGGAACAGAAATAGTGTCTGATGCCTTTGGCCCTAGCTAAGCTAAGTATCTCCCCCTTCCCTCTGCTGCCTCATCTGGTTTCGCCATCCTATCTTATATCCACTGGAGTGAAGGGGACACTGCAATGGCTATTGATTGAATTAATTAACTGTGTCTTGTCATACTTCCTTCAATAGGAAACATAAAGGTGAAAGCAAAGGAACAGACACAGGAGGAACAACATGGACTAAGGCTGGAAAACACACACAACACAGTGTTCTTTACCAAAGTTCTACTGGCCTTTACAGGCCTTTTAAAGAAAGGACCACTGCATGATTTCTTATGTTTGTGTTATACATGGATTTCTTAAAATCTCTTTCCCTTCATGCAAAATCTCTCCTCCAAATAATCAATGTAATGTGTTTAATGTGGTCTTCCTTTTGTAACGTTCCAGGACATCTTATCTAGTGCAGACCTTGCCATGACACTCACTGTGATCTTGAACCATCTCCCTGTGATTGCATCTTGTGTTTTCTTCTCTGTTTATCTCTAGAGGTTTTCTACTTGTCCACACAGTAATATCAATATGCCCTTCATTATGTAATTTTACTCCTCTCTTGTTGCATTGGAAGTTATAGGGAGTGCTGAGTGGGAAAGTGGAGGAAAAAAAAGGGTGACCATAAATGTTAAGAAAACCTTCTGTACACTATTGCTTCTCTGACACCAGGACTATAATTGTTGAACAGTGATTTCACTTCTAGCACTCTTGGGTTTTCCAGTGAAAGAAGAAAAAAACAACACAGAGATTGAAAGAGTTGCATGTTCCCACGGACTGGTACATGCAAACCAGGCTTCCCCATCACTTACTGTATTAATTGGTACATCTAGACACCCCTCCTCTCCATGTTTCTATCATCCTTCTGGAGGTGTGAAGGCTGAAGCTCATATCCACCATGCTGATAACAAGGGATCCTCCTGCAAAAATTACCTCAGAAAGAGCTCCAAACTTTCTTTCATCTTTGAGGTGAGCCACAAGCATCATTGTCTTCTGAAACAAGGAACAAAAATTCAAGTTTAGAGACACATCTGTGACCACTTGCCATTTCTTAGGCTATCACCATAGTAGGGCAAGCAAAGTGCCAACCTGCCCTAAGGGACCATACCTTCAAACCCCAGAAAGGAAACTCCTCTACCTGTCCAGATAGGAGAGACTTATCTGACAGATGATGCTAGCCGGGACAAATCATGCAGGATGAAGAAAGAGGAACAGGATGAAGAGGAGAAGGGGAGAAGGGAAGAGAAAGAGGAAATTGTGTTGAAACTTTTAAAAACTGGAGCAGGATGTATAAAGAACAGAGGTGTATGCATCCACAGGTTAGACTGAACACCAGCCTTACATCAGGAAGCCATGTGAACCTTGCCTCTCTTAGGGCTAACTACTTCTCTAATACATGGGAGGCAATCTCTTTCATGCTCCACAAACCCAATTGTCATAGGTGGGTACAGGTAACCAGGTTCTTGGTGATTGGGACAAAGTATTGAACTGAAAACCCAGAGTTTATAGCAGAGAACATGGGAGCAGGCCACCTCCAAGCAGAGATTGACCTCAGGGGCTGGAGGGACTCTATTCTTATAGGGAAGATCCTTCCTGGCTAGTTTTGGTGAGCTTTTACTGCACGTGTACAAGTAGTTGTATTACTTTAAAGCTACTGCATATGTGGTCTCCCATGATTTTTCCTGATTGGCTGCCAGGGAAGAGGGTAACACAATGTTATTGAATTGACCCCCCTCCTCCTGGGGTCCCCCTGTACTAGGTTCACCTTTCCCTTTGCCAGAAAATTATAGTTCTCCATGTTAGAGATTGGTGAAAAGGAAAGGAGGTATTTATTCGTTATACAGACTTAAGAGTAATGACTTAATGTCTTCATCAAAATCCCAAAGTCCCTTAAAACACACAGTCTTTCCTTCTCCCCTTTGCCTAGTCTGGGGTACCATATCTCAGGAAAAGAAATAGAAGTCCATGGCTCAGGCAGCCCCCAGTTCTTCCCAGTAATCCGTGCTCAGCTGGTAGGCCTCCCTCAGTTCCTGGCACCATCAGTTGTGTTGCTGGGATCTCCAGCTAAAGCTGCATGGTGGTTCTTTGCTAAAGCCACGTGATGATTCTTCTCACGGCTTCAGGGGGCAGGGGTCCCCACTCTGGCCAAAGGCACATGGTTCTCCCTCATCAAGGCTGCGGGGGTCCCCATTCTGCCAAAAGTGGCTGGTTCTCACTGCCACAACTGCATGGTCCTCTTTGCACGATGGCTGCCGAGTCTCGGTTTAAATCCCCGTGTCAATCCTCCTCTGCAGCCCCATTTCCAACTCCTCCCATAATTGGCTACACTTGCCAGCACTCTCATATCCTCCCAGCTTTACTGGGCTGCCCATAGTGAGACTGGGCAGGTGTGGCCCCATGGCATGGAGCCAATCATCTCCAAGCTCTCACACAGGCACTGTGAAGAGGGGGAGTTGCCTCCCAGTTACATCCTGGGTGGAAGTCACTCCCTTTTCTCTGGCTCAAAGCATGGCCACAGCTATTCAACATATCTATGAAACCAGTTAAAGGTTATAGATATGTTAAATGGCCATGCCAGAGGTTAGCTGCAAAGCTGTTGCTATGCAAAACAGTTCTCAATGGCCCTGCTCCATTTGTCCCTTCCCCCAACTCACACCTGTGGAGGGGGCAAGGGCATCCTATATATCTTTCTAATATTTTCTGGACACCTTGAGTTCTGGACCCCATTACAAACCCTTCTTTTGGGGGCCCCCTGGCTGCACCCTCCTACACAATCAGCCGCCAAACTGATTTCACCAATACTCAGCAAGCTGTGCTTCCTTTGCTGGTGCAGTACAAGCTTTAATGTCAGGTGGAACAGAGGTAACAGCCTTCTAAACTGTCCCCCTCCTCCAGCCTTGATCCAAACAGTACTCTATTTGAAATATCCAGAGATGGCTTTCTCTTCACCCAGTCTGAAATGCTTTTGAGTCCAGGAGATAACTCTAACATCAGCTCTTCTATAACATGGGACTGAATGACACACTGGAATGGTGTTTCAACTACCATTTCCCAATCTCTATATAGATTCTTCTTTTCCCTTTCTGTTTTTTGAAATAAACATGACTTTTCTTTTTTTTAAGATTTTAAAAAATTGTTATTCTATTACAGTTGTCCCAATTTTTCCTCCTTTGCCCCCTTCTGTCAAGCTCACCCTGCACTCCCACAGTCAATCCCCACACTGTTGTCCTTGTCTGTGGGTCATTCATACATGCTGTTTAACTGGTCTCTTCCCTTTCTTTCCACCATTATCTCCCTCCCCCGCTCCCTGTTGGCCACTGTCAGTCTTTCCCATGTTTCCATTACTTTCCCATGTTTTATTTTGTTCATTAGCTTATTTTGTTCATTAGATTCCACCTATAGGTGAGATCATTTGATATTTGTCTTTCACCAACAGGCTTATTTCACTTAGCACAAAATTCTCCAGTTCCATCCATGCTGACACAAGAGGTAGGATTGATTTCTGATTTGATCCTTTTATGGTCAGAGAACACACTCTGTAATTTCAGTTTTGTTTTTTTTTAACTTGTAGAGGTTTGTTTGGTGGTCCAAGATTATGGCCTGCTTTGATGAATGTTACATAGGCACTTGAAAAATATTGTATTCCGCTGCTGTTGGGTAGAGCATTCTATTTGTCAGGTAGATCCTATTAGTTTACTGCATTATTCAGACCTCTTGTATCCTTGCTGATTTTCCCTCTAGTAATTCTGTCATTTGCCGTAAGGGTGTAGGAGACCGTTCTGCGTGGTGTGGGCCCAGCTCCCACTTGGAGATGCACAGGACCCACACCCACAGATAGGTTCTCCCCTGAGGAATCAGGCCTGCAACGTACCTAGGCCACTTTCAGTCTTGCTTTTGCTAAAAAATTCCCTCACCCTGAATTGAAGGCTAAAATCCAGGCTAAACCTTCCAAGGATGAGTGTAGTCGGTTCAACCACTTTTGCCTTTTCATTTGCAAATATCCCTTTTCTGTGATGTGATTAGCAGCATTGGCTCCTTTGTTTTCTGTAAAAGGTAACCACCTAAAGCCAACCAGGGCATGGTAAATGAGGACCATCATGTAATGTGCCCCAGAAAAGAAATATAGGTCTGTCATGGTGGAAGCCACGGCTTTTGGCTTCTCTTGAAAGTGAAGCTGCCTGCCCTTTTCCTCCATAAGACTCGGTAGTCTGTGTGAATGTCTCTCCCCCATCCACAATGTTGCGGACCCCACAAGCCAGGGTCCATGTCATAGGGGGTGTTGAAGGCCCCAAATATCAGTTTGGACTTTGAAATTTCTCCTTTCAACTCCATCAGCTTTTTCTTCATGTACTTTTGGTTCTGTTTTTGGTACATACTCACTTATGTCTGTTATGTCTCCCTGGTGGATTTGTCCTTTCATCACTATGTAATGGCTCTCTTTACTAAGTTTCTTATTAATTTTCTTTTTAACTGGAAATTGTAACCACAGGTATGCTAATAAAATATCTTGGTTGTATTGGACTCTGCTTTCTCTTTTAGGAGTTGTTTTGCTGTCCATGACTCTGCCCATAAACACTCCTGTCAACATATGTAATTCACCATGTAAAATGATTTGGAAGTTTTTTGGCATCTACAGAAATAAGGTAGTCACAATTCTCTCTCACACAGGTAGATTGACTAAGGGTATTTTATCTTTACCACATTCCTCTGAAATAGTACATTACCAGACAACAACACTAGTGTCTTGAGTGGGCAGGAAGATTATGGAAATTAGACTGTTAGAAACCATCTTCCTTTGGGGTCTCATATTTAAGGTGCTCTAGGTTTGTGTGTTGCACATTTTGTATATCAATTACCCCATGTTACCTTAGGGCCACTCATGAGTAAAATTCCAATCACAGCTGATCATTCAGTGATGTGCTCATGACAACCAGGCCTCAGATTAATGCCTCCAGGGAGTCATTGCTCTCACTGTGTGGCCCACTGTCAGGACAATCTTAAAAGTCACAGCCCTTAAGACCTTTCATGTGTGCGGCACTGGAAGTGAAATTGAACACGGGTAGAACATTTTACCCATGAATACCACTTTCTCAGTTCCCAAAACCTGGAGGACACTTGAGTGCTCTCTCTCTC